TGCGAGGTGGAGGGCGTGTGTTCCAAGAAATTCAGGAGTAGATCAAAAACTGTGTAAAGTAATAGAACTGTGTGAGGCAGTAGAATTTCTAAATGAACCAGCTGACTTACAGGTAGACACACAAAATCTTATTTTCCTGCTTCTGCCCAAAACATTCTCGGGGTTTGCAAGAAATCAAAAGCTTTAATGAAAAGAGTACGAATTGAGCTAAAACCCTTAAAAATTTAGTAAGAGTAGTTTCAAAACTTAGAAGTTCATCACTTCATCACTTAAAACTAATACTGAAGCATCTACTGTAATTTATAAACAAGATGGCTGAGAAGAAATAGTCAACACCACACCTATTATTTGGCAGAATAAGAGCAGAAGTGCTAGTGATGAAAAAAGAAAGAGTTCATTTAGCAGATATTTTCTGAGTAAAGAGCATCCCAACCAACTTCCTGGAGACAGAGAGTTGGCTCAGATCTAGCTGAGGACTGTTATCAGTGTCAGAACAGTCGAACCATTAAAATAGCTAAGGATGTTATCCAATTTACTAAATTCTTTCAAAATCTTTTTATCTTCCTTGCTTTTTTAAAACCCACTTGCATATTTGAATATTCATTTGTACAAGCAAAAACATTCCAGTGTTCTTAGACATGATCTATAAAATTCATCAGTCTTGTAGAGTGAAATGAACATCCAAGAAGTTTTTATTTTACAAACCTGCTTGTACTCTTTAATGCAGTTTATCCAGTATGAATAATGAGGAATGGACTGCAATGCTTATAGTCCCTTCTCTAAATGGATACATTCATTTTTTGAGCTGCTGAAAAGGGAATAGTTCATTTGTTTTCTTTTTCCCAACAAGCTTCCCTCAAAAACAAACTGAAAACCTTTATAACAACATAATGTTGTTTTACCTAATCAGAGTTAGCCACAATGAAGAGAAGAGTCTCAGAGATGTAGAGAAAAATACTCCACTCCAGTAGGCAATGCCTGTCCCAAAAAGAAATAGAATCAGGGACACAAGGGGGAACCATGCATCCCGACTACTCAGTACAGCAGCATCCACCTCTGGCAGCGACAGTGACTCCCATATCTCTCTAAACCAGTTAAACCTGCCAAAAACATGAAAGCAGTATTACTTATCCCTTCCAATTGCCATTACAGTAAGATATCTATCAACTATTCCTCCTACTACAGCCTTTCAAACAAAATCACAGTCAGGCATTCACAGTGACTACAGACAAAATAATATTCCTCCCCACCAATAGTTTTACTGAAACTTCCGGTTTGGAAACTGCTTTAAATAAATAAATAAACAAACATGCAAACTCACCCCTGCAGAAACACAACAATGTTTATAAGAGGTTCTACTTTGTAGGGTTTAGCTGTCCTAACTAGTTCAAGGGAAAAGTCTGAGCACTGGCCTAGAATCAAGAACAGAAAGCATCTACAGTTATTATTCTGTCATGAACTTTAATAAAGAAGATCCACAACAAAAAGTACATTCAGACAAAGGTTTGAAAGTTTACTTTAAAACAAGATAACCGTGTCTTATAACAGTACTGCAAGTCAACATATTTCATCATCAAGGCCCTTATTCACTGGATCACTCATACTAGGTAATATGACACAAGAGCTTCTAGAGAGATTGTTACAACCACCACCTAAGTTTAAAGAAAAATGCATTTTGTCTGAAGACATGTCTAAAAGTGAGTCTGCAAATATCATCTTCATGCAAGAAATAAAGTGTTTTGTGCATATTAACAATATATTTTAAACTTACATGTATTTTTAAGTAGACTTCTATTAATTCTAAAATATTGTGCAATACCTATAATTTGCAAACAAGGGACTGCACACTAAAATAATAAGGAAATATTCTTCCACAACACAATTGTGGAGAACTACCAACAAACAAAAACCAAAACTGAAGAGCATGGATCCAAGTACTTGCACAAGTTCAATGATACTTAGCTTAAAAAATTCACAAGTAGTTAGTCTTTCAACAGTTGTGACAGGAAAAAAATTTTCTAGAAAGCTACCTGTTGATATCAATGTGCTCAATTGTCCTCCATAAGTAAGAAGAATATTAGAAACAATATAGACAGGAAGAGCGCCAGCATGGAATCTTATTATCTGAAAGACAAGGATAACTTTTAATTTATATATAAAAGAATATATTAAAAAAAACCACACACACAAAAGTATTATCATGAAGCCAGCCTGATAATGTGATTAGAAAATCTTTCTTAAAAGATTGAAACAGTTTGTCATTTTGATGCGTAAGTATTTGATAACCACCACTAGCAATTAATGTTATATATGGAAAATACTCGGATCTCTCAAACGACTAATCAAACATGTCCTGATAAATGACCAAATTATAAATTAATGCTTTTTTTCCAGTCAAGACAAATATTAAAAGAATACAGTAGCACATTAATGGTGTTTCAGTAAAGTAAATTAAAAAATTAGAAGTACAAGGCCACTTTCCAAGGAAAACCTGCATATAGTTACACATACTTTGGGGCAAAGACTTTTCGGAAGCAATTTCATGAATGTTTTAATTGGCTTCCACTGCCCCAAGTCAGGATTAACATACAAATAGCACATAAATTCTTCTAAAATATTAAAATGAAAAATCCTTGATATAAATGCATACATTCAAATAGAGAAACTTGCCAGTAATATTCCAGCACTACACTTAGGTGCTTGTGAATTAATTACTTTTTAGAATCAGAAAACTGCAGATGGCTACACTGTTTTTACTGATACCAGTGTCGAAACGTATTCTTCATTGATATCCAAAGAAAATTTGTTGAAAAGGATCTACTTAGACTTTTTTCCCCTAACTTTTAGTTGATGCCAAATGTGTTTTGAAGTTTTAACACTACTGACTCATCAGGCAAGACAGTGACCTACAGTCTCATCCCTTTACAGATATTCAGCTAACCACAAAGCCAAATGTCAACATTTACATTAGCTCTTTAGAGCTAGAGTGCTTTTCTACTCCTCTGAACACTGAGGCCTGACATTTATCTGGATACGATGCCTTGCCAGGTGACAAGGTTTTAAATGATCATTGAATAGTGTTTCTCTTGGCATCAAGAAGGAATTTCAAGTGCCATAGTAGGGAAGGGAGGAAGGGAAAGCTTCTATAGATGCTACTGACATAAAAAAAAAAACCAATCTAGTACTAGAAGGTTTTCTTACTTGCCCAAGAACCTGTAGAAGTGACGTCTTCAGAATTACCTTGATAAAAGAAGAAATAGTTTGTTGTTTTATACAACGGTAAGCATAAGTACAAAATACTTCTATTTTTAAGAAGCCAACAGGTATTAGATTACAGCAATCCCATAACTAAAATGTACAACAGCTTACTACTGACTTTTTAAAAACAAATGCTTTAAAGTTTTTCTTAGAAATGAGAGGCCAACTTTCAATATTACTCCAGCTGTTGCAAAATAATTGTAACATGTACAACATTTACAAAAAGGCGAAACAGCCTTTGCTTACTATTTATTTTGATTAATTAGCTAGTTTTAAAAGACTGAATTATGCAAAAATTATACAGCAAAGCAAAGTAGCTATGAAATAAATTTGTATTACTCACTTCATACTGACAGTCTGAAGAAGAGTAAATATTTAACTCTGGAACCCTGCTGTCATTTTGAGGCTGAGCAATATGCAGTTTTGCAGAAATCTCAGTAAAAGATGGAACTCTGAAAGAGCAACTTAATTGGTAATTGTCCTTATAATCACAAAAAGCCAAACATGCCTTAGTCTTCAACAACTGCACATAAAGCAGATCTAGTACACCAAGTGTCACCACAAGCTATGAGCTAAATGGTAAAATGAACTTGTTTATCCTATCACAAAGAATAACGTAATGCATAACATTCCCAGTCCGCTGTAGTCTGAACTATCAAGGGGCATGGTACAAATGAAAACAGACAAGTTTAGCATTAGCATACACACTGCCTCACCAAACATGTAAATATGCTGAGTGACAAGAATAGGAAGGACAGATTCTCAAGAATACAATTCAGTTTCCTGCAAGTATTATGTTGTCAGAAAATATGGGGGTGGGGGGGTGGATAGGGAGGTATCCTTAAGACCTCTAAAATAAACAGGGAAGACAGTTTTCCAACCATCTAAAATAAAGTCAGATTGTTCAACTGCAATTCATGAGTGACGCATATTTCAAGCCATATAATTTGATTTTGTCAGGACTATGCTGCTGAAGCAACTTAGGGCTGCTGCATGATCCAAACCCTGGGTTACGAGAAGAAGCCAGTATCCAGAGCTGCCTCCGTTCCCCCACTCCTGAAATGGTCAAAGATTATGCTGAGAATTTCAAACCAGCAAATCTGACTTCCTTTTTGAGAAAATTAGTGAGGACTATTAAACAATTAGTAGATATTCTTATTCTGAGGAAAAGTCAAAACAACTTTGTCAACAAGGGCAGAAAGGTAAATGAGGAAGCCAAACACTTAAGACTGGAGAAGTTGTCTCATATCAGAAATATTACCACAACAGGTTGCAAACATTCTTCAAAAACATATCAAGAAGTTATAATTGTTAAAGTTCTTACTTCGCTACAGTTATTGAGTCTTCATGTGACCAGGGTATATGAAGTCTGTAAACACTAGGTTTTCTTTCTGAAATTGAAGAGAATTAAAAAAATATAAAATTAATTAAGAACAAGATGTGGCAACTGCCTCCGAAAACTGAAATGCAAGTAAAACAAAGGTGGCATATAGATCACTATACAGAATCACTGGGCTTGCAGTTACATTGCAACTGACATTGCAATGCAGATCAGTGCAGTTAGCGTTAAACAAAAATGACATTTTTTTGTCTCATGCTGTTACAGAACAAGACAGTGAGACATCAATGTTTAAAGGCAGGACAGTTATAAGGAAACTTCTGGTTTTCAATACAAAGCTGTAACCTCAAGCTAATAAATCCATCACTTTTCTTTTTTTTAAGCAAAGTACTTTAGCATCCCATTCTGTTTAGGCTTATGTAGCTCAACATTCAAATTTGAGTCCCACAATTAGCAAATAAAAATCCTAGCCAAATGTGCTATTCTTGAGAAACACTTTCAACATAATGCAGAATCCTG